TGGAACATTGTCGCCGATATTCTCGACAGTCACTTCGGGATTTATTCCTAAAAAAATCTCTATCTGCTTTCTAAGGTCTCGGGGAAGATTTGTTTCAAGTCTTTTCCTTAGATGAGGCTGAATTAGTTCAAAGGCCAAATCTTTTACAAATTTAAAACGTGGAAGTAATTTATTATCTTTGTAACAAAGATAAAGGATGTAACTGTTGACTGAACTTATATTTATAAGTGTACAAAATACGGGTAAGGGCCAACGCCTTGTCCGGCAGTTTGCACTATAATTGGCACACTTCATGTCTAAAACATCAACTCCCGATTTTGTACTGTTATAGTATCGAATTTCTGGTTTTCCTAATTCATTGTCTTTGCTATGATGCATAGAGGATAATAAAAGAACAGCTCTATTTTTTTTCGGTACATATGATATCAAGGTTATGTCATTGGAGAAACCATAGAGTGTTGTACCAATTTCCCTACTTTTATTAGCCTGGAATTCTAAAGGAACTTCTCGCTTATTTTTTTTACTGTACCCACATACGTGAGGTGGCGTTTTTGCAACTCTGTGACTAACTCTATTGAAGAAAAATAGTTGTCAGCAGTAATATTTCGGTTAGAGTCCTCTATTGGTTTGGATAGTCGAATAACTCGTTGAGCAGGCTTGGAAAGCTTCAGTTCCTCTTCTGAAAGTCCAACACCATCCGAATCTTACCCTGAGCATATATATCCATTATAGAAATACGAACTCTTAGCTTATTACATTACATCTTAGCACATTACTTTTATGCCGTATTTCGCAGGTTTACTGGGCATGTAAATTCGAAAACCACAGTGACCTCTAAATTGAAGTAGCATCTCATCCACAGTTACACAATCTGACAACGTGTATAGCCTCTAGCAATTAGTCACAAAATTATTAAAAATATTTTAAATAGCTGCTGTTTTATCAGTTTTCTTCCGCTCTTCGCGATCCATGCTACTGTCAAATCTAAGACACGAAAAAAGTATTTCAAATCTTTTCAAAGACATCGTCATTCTGAATATTGGCCGACCCAAAACATCTTTAGAAAACAGTTGAAGCATATCTTCATAAGAATTCATTTTGGTTAATCCATGTTACAATTTGTTCCAACATTTTATCAGTAATAAACAACTTCCAAATATCTGATTTAGAAAGGCTATTACCCAGAGTCCTGCTTATTGCTGTTAGGCCTTGTAATTCTCTGACAATGTTACGTGTTCGTGTCCTTGTATTTCTCGGAGGCTCCGTTTCCACTGAAAACTATTTTTTCCTTTGAATATGTTCACATCCCCTTTTACTTGTAAAAAGTCTGAATCATCTATAACATCTCTCATGTCCTCGTCACTCCCTTGCTCTGATAAATATAAATCTTGATCGACGGTAAGTAGTAATCTTTGTATATTCTTTTCAAAATCTGGGTCAGCCAGATTGACTTTTTTATTACGGCCAGTTCCGCTAGGTCCTGCTCTATCCATTATTACTAAAAAATTAAACATTTTTAGAGTAATTATGTTTATTATACACGGGTAGCGGGTAGACACTCTTTACGATCCCGGTAAAGACAAGTCTGCTTCAGGGATGCGCCCCTGCCCACGTGAGCTCGGCTTTTTCTCCCAATTTTATTCCGGGAGAGAAGCGGATCCTAATCCCTAAATCCTACCCACCAACCCAGACCTACCCAAATCCTTCCCTTCCCTCCTCAACCCGCACCGGACCAGCGTGAGGAGATAACGGTCCAAACCTTCAAGTCAATGTACAGGACAAAAAAGAAAAGGCCCCCAGTGCCCAGCACTTCCCAGAGTCTTGATCACGGCAGCGATCAAACAACTAACGGAAGGGGGGTGCTAAGAATCCCTGGGTAAGACCCGGCTGCCACAAGATAACAATTTGGCTATGCTCCTACAATATTCGAACACTGACGGACGACAATAGATTCCCAGAAATAGAAAGTGAATTAAATGATATAAAATGGGATATCCTTGGTATATGCGAGACCAGAAGAAGGTGGCGAATACACGAGTGGGATTCTTGGTAAAACAAAGCCTCACACAGTGTATCGAAGAATTCAAGCCCATATCAGACAGAGTAGCGTATCTCATCATCAGGATTAATAAAAGAACCACTCTGAAAGTGATAAGTGTACGCTCCGACCAAAAGCCACGACGATGAAGAAGTAGAAATATTTTATAATGAAATAAGAACAGCTATAGAAACAAATAAAGCAAATTACGAAATACTATTAGGAGATTTTAATGCTAAATTTGGCAAAAAAGAGAAAGATTATGAACATTTAATTGGTAACTATGGCTACGGGAAAAGAAACGATAGAGGAGAAATGCTTCTCAATTTCATGAATGAACATAACATGTACTCAATGAACTCCTTTTTCAATAAAAAACCAAGCAGAAAATCGACATGGATGAGTCCCGATAAAAAGACAAAGAATGAAATAGATTATATCTTAACGAAGAATAGAAACCTAGTAGAAGATGTATCAGTATTAAATCAGTTTGACCTAGGAAGCGATCATAGACTAATAAGAACAAAACTAATAATTAACAAAAAACTAGAAAGAAAAAGAATACATGAAAAAAGATACAAATGGACAAATTTTACACAGAACTTTACAGATCACATCCACAAGATGATGAGATGAGATCAGCACGGAAATTAATAAAAAATATTGGATCAGAAATAATGAGAAAAGTAACAATTTCAGAGGTAACTACAGCATTGGAAAACATGAAGAGAAATAAACCTGCAGGAGAAGATAGTATTACCACAGATATGATATTAGAAGGAGGTACGGAACTAATTGCAATTGTAACTAAGCTTGTGGATAGTTGTTTACATCAGGGCAAAGTCCCTAAGAGCTGGAACAACTCTAAAGTAATCTTATTACACAAGAAAGGTGATAGTCGAAAATTGGAAAACTACAGACCCATCAGACTACTGTCACACCTGTTTAAAATACTCACCAAAGTCATAACTACTCGACTAACAAGGAAATTAGACGAATACGAACCATATGAACAGGCAGGTTTTAGAAAAGGCTATTCAACTTCCGATCACCTGTTAACCACAAAAATATTAATAAAAAAATGTAACGAATACAAGTTTCCAGTTTTCCTAGAATTTGTAGACTACAAAAAAGCTTTCGATACCATAGAACACACGGCCGTAATAAACGCAATGCAAAATTGTAGAATAGACAGCAAATATATTAACTTAATAAAAGAAACTATGAACCAAGCTACAGCTACTTACTACCTAAATGAAAATGAACACACGAACCCTGTACCATTAAACAGGGGAGTCAAACAGGGAGATACTTTATCACCCAAACTGTTCACCTTAGTTTTGGAGGACGTTTTTAAAAACCTAAATTGGAAATATAAAGGAATAAACATCAATGGCCGCTACCTCAGTAATCTACAATTTGCTAATCCTGATAGCTACTGACCTACAAGAAATGCAAACCATGCTTTTAGAACTACATACAGAATCTTCTAAAGTAGGACTGAAAATGAATTTAAACAAAACAAAAGTCATGCACTCCGAAGACACCGTGAAAATAATAAACAATAAAGTTATAGAAAAAGTTGAAAAATATATATACTTAGGACAAAAAATAATCCTAAATAGAGAAATTCAAACTGAAGAAATAAAAAGAAGAAGGGACAATCACAAAAAAGAATATGAATATACTTAGTCATTCAATACGCGATGGAAAGAGCAATGCTTAATGAGGTATATCACTTAAGGACAAGAAAACAAACACATGGATAAGACAGAAAACCAAAGTCACCGATGTGGTGCAAAAAATCATTAAAGTTGAAATGGGAATACGCTAGACATGTAGCTAGTAGCGATCTAAACAAATGGCACAGATCAATTTTAACCTGGAGACCATATCAACACAAAAGACCCAGAGGCAGACCTTCTATGATATGAACAGATAATCTGAAAAGGACTGCGGGGAAAAATTGGCTACAAGTAGCGTACAATAAAAAACAATGGAAAGGAAGACTTGAAGAGGCTTATGTTCAGATGTGGACGTGAATGGCTAGACGAAGATGTTTATTATACAAAAAATATGAAATACCGTATTGTTTATCAGTACACAATCCGTAACAAGTGGCCTCCTAGACCTATCATAAAAACACTGCAATTCGAAACACCTGGTTTACTAGACCTACACATTTTGGAATGTCAGTTATGATCGCGAAATTTCCTGTTTTTAAATAAAATTTGTATCATCTTGACTGTAAAAATTAGAAATCTTTTCGATATCAAAATCGAATTTTCATGCTATGGTCTTTGAATATTAGTCTTTTACAATGAATATTCTATAGTGATCGGTGAATGTAAGTGAATTGATACAAATCGTTAGTCGCTTCAAGCGTTGTTTCTGAGAGAGCGGTTCATTCTACACAAAAATGGTTAATATATATTTTTGTTTAAAATTACCTCAGCTACATTTCTTATTTGAAACAGTTTTTTCTACGGTGTACAGATTCTTGGTAAATCGATCTATTCAGGTTCCCCCTCCCCCTAAGAGGGTGGTTTTAGGAGGAAGTTCGGAGGTAGGAATCGCAAACTTTTTGCATCTTTTTTGGGGTCCTTAAATCAACATTCTTAGCAAAATTCAGCTTGTTCGTATAATTTTTAGAGGCTAAGTGGTATTTTCGTCTTTGACGACTGAAGTATACATAAAATCTTTCTTCTATCTCACAAGGTTTTCATAAAATTTATAAGGCTTTACCTAAACTGCATTTTCAATCAAACTTCCATTCTAGCCAACGTGATTTTATAAATAATTAAGAAAAATTGTGTCAAATGTGATTAATAAAACTCATAATTCTAAAACGATAAAAGTTAGTCATATACGGAAAAATTGTTGATCTTTATTCTACATCTTCGCTGTTTAAAGCTTTTTTCTAGATAATGGTTTACGAAATAAAAAGAAAAAATGTATTTACCTACGTATGTAATCGTGGTAAGAACAGATCTCTCAGACGGTGGTGCCCAACATCCTAACAACATATGTACTAATGGCGGTATACCTCCCTGTGCCAATCCTTGAGAAATTCTACATGCGATGACTCCTCCAGCGCCAAAGTATCTAGCCATTGTTGGTATTAACATACAAGACATCGAATCTATCGATGCGCAACCTACGAGTATCCATTTTGCCCCGAATTTTTTCCCTAGTTCAGCAGCGGGCACCTGAAGTACAAAATACCCCCAGAAAAATGCCGACAATACAACACTTTGGTTTTTCCAATCGTATGTCTGAAACGTACAAAAAATATTTTTTCATGTTAGCACAACAGATATAAGCATCACGATAAAATAAGTTTTTTTTAATTCATTAGTAATCTTTTAGAATTTGTTTTAAAACAGTTTATTAGCATTTTAAAGTTTTAGTTTTTTTTATTCTCATATAATTCAATTTTCATTTCAAAAGTCATTGTACAAGAATAGTACATAGTATATGACAAATACATTTTGAGAACAGAGCTCCTACGTGGTAACTAACCTGGAAAATGATTCAGTTTATATTATACAAATATTGATAACAGTCCAAAAATTGGCCGCAAATAGCTTTAATTCTATTATATTCTATTAGAATATTATTAGAATATTATTCTAATATAATAAACTACGCCCCTCAAAACATTTATGCCTGTTTTTTTATATTAAATAAAGCTATTGTTTAATATGATGATATTAAGGTTACCTGGGAAAAAATGGTCGCAAATTAGGGTTGCCAGCAGTTAAAAACGCGAGGTATTAAAAATGAAGTCAACGCGTAATGCCACTAGTTTGACATGGCTAGTGTCAGTTGTGTGAGTTTTTGAAGCATGCATCGACACATAGTGTTAATAACATCGATATAATATAATAAGGATGGAACCTCTAAATAAATACTTGCGTATAAGTAGCTAGTAACAATGGCCGATCTGGTTTCCGGAATGTCAGTGGCGTACGAAAAAAATTTCTTTTGGTACATATATATCTTATATACTAAAACGCTAAGCCCTTTTCTTGTCCACCACTTTACTCAAAAACCATATTAGATAATTAAAATACTTTTTCGGAATATTATTAGTATTACGTATGAGATTGTCAAGATATACTTTTGGTACAAAAATTCACTTCCGGTTTTGAGATGACCAGAAGTTAAAATTTACTTTAAGTTTTAGACCTCACAATGTATATATGGATCGAAAGGTCTCGTCGATCCGACACCGGAAGTGACCCGAAACGCGCATAAAACGTCAAGATAGAGCAAATCTGACACCGGATTCGTGATCAGCATGCAAAATTAACTACTAAATGATATCCATGTCCACGATGAACTAAAAATTGCATTCCGGTTTTGAGGTCGACTTCCGGTTTCGTTTTTATTAAAAAGTAAAAAGTAAAAGTTTACATAACTGCCGGTGCCAAGCAAAAGTTTTCAGAAAATGGAGACAATGTAACAAAAAACATTGTTTTCGACGAAATATTTCGTGATATTTAATACACTTTTTACTTGCATTATTATTGATGAATGGTATGTATATTCTTGCTTATATTGTTTGTATTGATCTCTTAATTTTTCTCGCAAAATAAAAATTTCATTTAAAAAACTCGATGTCGAGTTGGTCCGCTAGTGTATAATAATTATTTTTTTCGTTGTTATTTATATTTGAATAAGCGATACAATGACGTGTTACATTGTAAAATTAAAAAAAGTATTATTTGGATAACATAAAAACATATAAAACATATGAAGGGTTTAGGGAATAAAGACGCAATGTCACTATTAGTACATTTTTCAGAAAACTACATTTTCTATTTTTGTATTTTGTAATATTTAACTTGTATTATCCTAAACTCCTTTTTTTTAACAGGTTGCTAAACAATCTAGTAAAATATGTTATATATCAGTATAAGTGTTAATTATATTAATTTAATAAAAAATATTTTAAATTAATAAAAAAAAAAGAATGTTACTGCTAGCGCACAAAAATAGGTTAAACAAGGCCTTTATTATCTTTTATTATAATTAAAAAACAATATACTTAAGAAGAATACTTATTTACTGATGTGGTACACTCTTCAACTTTTTCTCTAGAAAGAGGTAGCAGCTGCTGATGAGATGCTAGAGGTAACATGAGGAAGTAACGAGGAGTGTCATTGGTTTTTTTGCCCTTTGGAATCACTGTATTTGAAACGAAATTTCCATAGTACGTTGGATGATGAAAAATCAAATGGGTAGATTTTTGTCCAATTTTCAAAACTTTTATAGGTCTTGTTTGAAATGGACATTTTTTAAAGAATTTGTTATCAAAATACTCTGTCCAGGATTTCAGCATATTTTGGTCAACTTCAATCACATCAAAAGAAAACGGTTTTTTCTTGAATTCCGGAAAACTTCAGCCCATTCCTCTGGCAATTCAACTCTTGATTTTTGATTTATAATCCCCATATTTTTATCTGTTTCCATGTACGAATGCCCTCTCACTGAAAAAATCATATGTATGGTCTTAGGTCTCTTTTCTATGTGAACAAGATGATACAGAAATCTTGCAACTGTATACTTTTTATTTTGGCCCCCTCAAGGATCTGCGAATACAAACAACTCTTTAACTGAAGGATCAAGGAAATTATGGAGTAAATGGCGAAGGAGAGAAGACACATCGTCTGCTCCTTTTTTCCCTATTGTCTGTGGATATGTATAAAAAACACTTTTATTGGTAGTCTACTACTCTAATACGTGTATGTTAAACGTAAATACAGATAATCGTCTTTAGTAATAGACATCATTTGTTGAAATGTTAGGATTGGCAAGTTTTTTGGTAGTCAATGCAAATGCTTTTGATTTTTTCATTGGTTTTGCATAACCTTTTCATTTGCCGTTTTTTCTTGTAAATAGCGTTTGCTTTCATATTATGAAGTTTGCTTGCAGTGTAAAGGTTTTTCATCTGCTGAGCGAGTCTCCTTGGCGGATTCCTCCTTTTAGTTCTATGCATTCTGTTTCTTATGTTAGCATTTCCTCTCTGGTCTTGTTGTTCTTGTTAATTTCATTAACTGTCCTTATTATCTGATGGTCTGATCTGAAGAATACTTTAAGCTATAATGGGATTTTCTTCTTTTAAATAGAAGATACTTGTTCCATCACAGCAGCAGTAACAGCCTTCGATAGATTATGAGGGCGATTAGCGTGTTTACCTCTCTTGTTTTTAGGTGCCTCTCCAGTTAATTTTAAAGATCGTTGCAATAACTCTAACTTCTTTCTTCCGATTCCATGAATAGACAGAAAAGCTTTAGCGCAGATAGGTACGTCAGTAGAAACTTCGTCGGCATTTTTAAATCGAACTCTGTAAACATATTATGTTAAATCAAATATATTTTTTTATATATATTTGATTTAATTTTTCTCGGTAGGTCAAATCTTTTCTTGACCTCCGTTGTTTAATTTGTAAAACTGTAATAAGATCACATAGGTACAAATTTTGTGCATTCTCTGAGTTAAGTAAATTAAAACTACATATCGCTCATTTACCAGAACAACGTGATATCACAAAAAGTACAATTTTACAGGAGAGCATTTTTTAAGTTTCAAAAAATCATAAACTGGTAATGACTAAATTAATTTGCTTGAAATTGTAATTGGTGTATATTTTAACTATTAACTTTAAATAAAACCAGTCATTTATCTAGATTTTATCATTATACTTATAGAATTAAGACATACAAAAAAAAGAAACACATATATCACATTATTTCTGAAAATATAGAAAGAAAGTAATGCAATAAGTTAACTTGTAACATTGTAGATGATAAAATTTTCTGGTTTTTGGTAACTTAAATAAATAAAACAAGTGGTTTTTATTCAAATCTTTATTGGAAGTTATAAAATATCTTAAAATAAATTGTGATTAACGATCATTCATGAATATGCTTTGAACACCAGAAGTAAAAAAATGCTGTAAATAAACATTGAGTAAAAATATTAGTATTATGCGCATTAGTAATAAAACAGATACCTAATCACTTTACAAAACAGTTTTGAGTGATAAGTTTAATGTTAATGCATTATAAAATCTAATAGAATACTTATCAAGAAAGTATAGTCAGCATTACTCAATTGGACTAAAAATGTAAATGATACTGTAATAAATAAAATGTGAAACTTAAAACATTTAAAACATTTATGGCACTTATGCAGACTGAAATGTGTCGGAATTTATTGCTGACACATAAAACATACATTCTTAAAAATTATAAAGCTTCGTAAAAAGGTCTGTGATATCTTGGGATGAGATTTTTCTTAATCAAATCCATTAGATCTGCTTTTTTCCTGTCAGCTAAACCAGGTTTCTGTGAATATGCATTAGTCAATTCTATATTAATGTTTTTCTTTTTTTTTATCACTATTGCCTTTCGAAACCCTTCATCAGCATATGAATATTTAAAAGATATGACCGAAGGATCATCCTTTTCGAACTTAATAACCTTAATTTCTGACAGTTTGATAGGGTTGTTATCCATATCTTTTGTTAAAGTTAAATTCATTTGATTACATACGTTTTTCCAATCATAAAAATCTTCGTAACACATTTCGTTGACATGAAACGGAGTACTTTTTTTCCTCGCTGCCTTTATGGCACCTATAAAAGCATCAGGGGTATACATTGGTCCTGATCTTAACTGTCTCTTTATCTCCTTCTCAATTTGAGAATGTGCTGAGTCTCCCTCATTTTGTGTATGTCCTTTAATTAAATATTTGTGTGTTATGGACCTAAGATTTTGTAAATGTTGTACAGCGTACAAGTAAAGGGCAAACATAAATTTGTTTTTCTGTTGACCTGCGCAGTTGTCTGAATAAAAAACAACATCCAGATCTTTGGCGGTTTTTGAAGTATTCATTAGATATTTGAATACGCATGTCCCAATTTCATTAACACCCCTATTAGCATTCGTTTCATCCCAGACATAACATTCAACTACATTATTTTGAATATTGTATATTGTGAGGTTAAGTACATTTAGTTTTGATTTGTAATAAAATACTGAAACGTCGCCTTTAGGACACTGAAAGACAGCTTGAAGGTCATACACAGCAACAATAATATTCTCGTCGTTTTTATCTTTGTTCTTTTCAACGCGTGATAACTCCTTTTCCTTCAAGTGTTTCTCATAATTTACTTTTCTTGTTTCTTTTTCTTCGGCTGTAGTATTTTTATATGCTTCGCACTCCTCACATAAGTCTTTTTTCGGTACAAAAAAGGAAATATTAAAATCTTGTGTGAATATACGATAGAACGTGACATAGGTTGCAAAAGAAAGGTTTTTCTTCTTACATTCTTCTACGTAATCCCTGTGTAGATCTGTTACCGTTTTACTTCCATCAATGAAGCACCTATTCGAATGCGCTCGAATATAATGGGATTCTACTTTCGGAATTGCTTTTATGAACTCTCTAACTCCATTCTTTATGTTTTCATCTAACTTGCTATGATTTTCATGGCACCCACGTTGATCCTTCATGGAAGAAATATTAGTATATTTATTCTTTTTTTCTAAAGCTGTTTCGATTGGACGGTTGTTAATACTGAATGTGTTTTTAAAAAAGGTTTTACATACTCTGATTTTCACCCCAGACACAGTTAAAAAATATGCATTATTATTTTCACGCTTTGGAGCAACACATCCCTGAGCATCAAATTTTACATAACGATGTTTTGGGACAACTGTTTCGACGTTGTTCGCTAAGAATGTCCATTGTTTTTCAATGTCCCCCAGAGCCCAGTATTGTGCTAAAAGTTGTTGCCGCTGACTCTCTGTGATATTTACTTGACATTTGAATGTACAGGTATCTTTGCATGGTGGCTTTAAAGAGCGTTCGGGGACAATTTTACCGGATTTGGGGGATTGGTATGCTTTTCCACTATTTCTTAATTTTTTCACAACATTTTTCTTCCATTCACTCTCCTTTCTTATTCTCTTCTTTCCCTTTTTCATTGCTGTTTCATCAATTACTGGCGACTCAAGCTGCGCAGTAGTTACACTTTCCTCTGCGTTAGTTGGATGTACATTTAAGATGTCCTGTAACGTTTTATCTTGATAAGTATCTTGGTATGAGGTGTCAATAGTAATCGATGTAGAAGGAGGAATTTCTTTATACTTTGTTGAATATAGAATGTTGTCACAGCAGTTCCCGATATCATCATCAAAACTTTCAGTCATACGTTTTGGCTTTGGCTCTTCTAGTTCATAATTGGGATCCTTGACAGAGTCATCACTATCTACAAAATAAAAAAAATAATTTGTAGACCAGTAAAAAAATAAGAAAGTTACAATATTTGGGACGCGTAATGAGGGAACGGCGATATGAAATGCTAAAACAGATAATACAGGGAAAGATAAAGAAGGAGTATAGGAAGAAGGAGACTGTCATGGTTGAAGAATTTAAGGGACTTGTTTAAATGAAGTTCTAGAGAACTCCTCAAAAAAATAAAGATAATGATGATGATATCCAACCTCCGATTAGGAGACGGCACTTAATGAAGAAGACTAGTGAAAACTAACAAACTAATAACAAAGTAACGTTACTAATAAAGTACTTACCTTCGTAGAATGACGAAATAGTCTTTCTAGAACTATTTGATGAGCTACTTGATGAACTACTAGATGAACTGCTTGATGATCTGCTTAATGAAATGCGGCTACCCGTCGATTCGCAGCGATCATGTTTTCCGGGATTTACTACGCCTCCATGCTTCGTCTCCTCTCCTAAAAAACCACAAGATTAATTATCTACAAAATATTTATATCCATAGCAAATAATAAAATTTATAAAATTCTCACTTACCAAAAACATTATCAAAATTAGAATTCTTAGAATTATCAACCTCATTACCGGAAGATCCAGCAACAGCACTATTATTTCCTAATGCTAAGTTGATTATTTTGTTAGTCCGCGACCCCATCTGCAAAAATAACACTCTTTATGAATTTGTATTAGTATGTATAACGTGATAAAATGACATAGTAAACTGTGAAATAATATAATTTTTCTGGAAAAAGTGCACAACAACAAATATTCAAAACAAAAAAATCAAGTTTATCATCAATACTGGTTCTTCTTTTGATATCGCCTTTGAAAAATTATATTTTTACAATAACAACGTGATATCAATGACAAGACTATTTCACATGTTACTGTATTTTTTCTGGAAGAACTAGGTAAATACCTTTGTTACATTTTAGAAATAAAATTAAACATTTGATTGTAGCTTACCTTTGCAATAATAGTGTGGTATAGTTGTGATGTCACGTTGTTTGTGAAAACAGAGAGCACTTCACCCTACGTCATACAGATCACAACTAATATGCCACGCTATCGAAAATAACGAGGTGTCAGAAAGAGACAACGCTACAAGATGATTTGTCACATCATTTCTGTCTCTTTCCCTCCAAAATACATTTTACTTCTATGTTAAAGATACCACGTTATTACAGTATATAGAATGAAATAAGGCGGATTTATTTAACGGATAATAAAAAAATCAAATTTTTCGAGATGTCACGTTGTTCTGGTAAATGAGCGATATTATTGACTGTCTAACGTCAGGTGATACAATTTCAAAGCAACAATATCTTTTGTACTTACAGTTTGGCCCTGTTACGTGACTCTGTAGTCGTAGCCTTTTACGAACCTCATTCATCCGCCAGGTTTTTTTTCCGTTTTTTTTGTGTTTTCTTGTCTGGGGTTCTCTAAACCATCACTACTACTGTCTATAAAGTCACTTGCAAAAACTTTACTCATTTTTTAAATTAATAATGTAACGATATTATACTTAAATAAATTGCACACTGCTACGATGAATTCTTTGGTGCAACTTAGCTCAAAAAAAGACAAGTTGTAGTCACAGTGGCGCCTCACGAAAGTGACAATGCGCTTTCATTCCTAGAACACATGGACTATGCGCCTTTGTCCCATCGAGCAATAAGACAAAAGAGGGAATCTAATCGTTATGAAAAGGAGACCAAAAAAGTGGCCTCTGATGGCGGACATATCCGGAAATGCGAATGCGCCAAATTTAAATTTCCGACACTTATTAACAATAGCTATATAATATTTTTCAGAATGTGTCTTAGACGAGAAAGTTTTAATTAATTATTAACGGTAATAGTCTAAAATGCGACACAATTGTTAAAAAACTTCAATATAAATAAGATTTCATGTGACATTTGGGACAAAAACAATAACATAACCCAACTAAATTTGATGTCAAACAAGGAGAGAGACTCTCTTTCCTTGTTTAATGTGGCCTCTAAAGATCGCACTTCCTGTCTAACAATATTTTTGCCCCCACTACCTTTACATTCCCTCTTTTGTCTTTTTGCTCGATGCTTTATCCCCAGACTACAAAATATTTACTTGCGATTTTCTACTGACCTAACATATAGCATTAAAAATTTGGCTTTTCGTAAAAGTTGACATTGCGCCTTTATTCCTTGCACTCTTCATATATTTTACAGATACGTAGTGGCGCATCGCACCCCACTGATGTGACTGGATGCAAAATATTAAAAATTTAATAAATTTATTGATTTACTAAAAAGAATACATTGAATTATTGACTTAACACATAATTTTATCTGTGTAACATTAAAATATCGGGGAGAACTATATTCACATTAATCACCTGTCAAATTCAAGTCGGACATTGTAGCTGATAATGTAACGTTAGTTACGTCGTTGATCAGCTACATGTAAAAATATTAACATGTTTCATCCTTAGTATATTATATCGTTGGTTTGAACTTAATGAAACAATCCCATACTTTCATGGCTGAAATCGATAAGATATTAATTTATTTCACGGTATTTAGATGACAGTTCCGAATTGGATAGACATTTCAGACCAAACTTTTCTTTTCGAATATGTTAAATTTGTAACTACAGATAACCAGCTTACAAAAAAACACTAATTTGCTCTCAATTTCAATAACAACATTATCAAATAATTATTTTTAAGTTATTTACCTCAATATTAGGATTCGAAGATGTCGAATTGTCATTCATAGCGACAATTGCTACAGAAAGTACACTTCTCATAGAGTAAGTGTATGTCAAAAGTAGAAAATAAAACAACACTTGAAGATGGCGGATCCCCCAACTCGGACCTGAAATAAATAAATAATAAATCAACTATGGAATTATATACATAATTTCAAGTGACGTGAAACATATACTGGCGCAGATATTGTGTTCTCGTATGACTGATGGCAAACGTCGTATGCCGAGTAGCTCGGTCTTCTCCGCATTGTACAAAAGTCGTTATTACAAATATTTGTATGTCTTGCATTTATATCTTATATTTAAAAAGAGGATTACTACATGCTGCGTGGCATTGGCTTAATCTAACAGGATTTAACAGTTCTGATAATGATTATCAATGATCATAATTATATTCCTTGCTATACTTATTGTACCTACTTTTTCTCTACTATCTTTCTTTCTGTTCCACTATTCAGGTCCTTCATTGGGAAGACTTTCTTGGAATTTATCACCTTTCATATTATGTCATAGGATTGTACGAAGAATTGTTCTTTATCACTTAATAATTAATCTTTTTTGCCTAGTTACCCTCATAATTATTAGTACGTGTCGATAGAAACACACATTTTTAATTAAATAATTTTTTTCATTAAAAGCCTCCATAATGTTATATTTTTAATGTGGTAAAATGCATTTGGTAGATAAGATAAATGCATTTCGAAAGTCCATAGAAAATGAAAAATTTTCAACTAAGAATATATCAATAGGAATGAGTTTAGTTTTTTACTCAGAGATTATAAACACAAATATGATAACGACGATAGTCTTTTTATTGGAAATCAGTAGAAATCCTTCCAAGCAAATACTTGGAAGGTTTTTCAAGCCACTGAACAAGAATATGATGACAGCGATGATCCTCGAGCTACCTGGTGTCCAAGGCATCACCTAAATTTTTTATGTTATTTTCCTTAGAAATCAGTCATAAGTCATAACTCGAGTATTTTCGATGTCACTGATTACGAATGTTATGACAGCGATAATGGTCGAGCAACATAGAGTCTATCGTGAACGTCGTCTCTTGGAAGTTTATGTTATTTTTATTCGAAATGAGTCATTTCTGGGGAGGTATAAGGGTTGCTGAATACGAATATTACGACGGCAATGATCTCCAAGGTACCTGGTGCTCAGCGCGGATCTAGTCTTCTGAAGTTTTCGGTTAATTTGTTATTTACGATTTTTAATAACATAAGACTCCAGGAGACGAGGCCTACCCTGATAGCTCGAGGATTATCGTCCTTATCATATTCGTGTTCAGTTGCAAATTTTTCATTTTCTATGCATTTTGAAAATTCATTTTGTTTATGCACAAAATGCAATTTTCTTTTTACCACCATGAATTTTGTTCACAAACTTTCCTGACTCTTTTACAAAATTGGTAGATTTAGTGCTTTTTAGTGCTTCATTTCCTCGCCTATCGAGACCAGAGCAGATCTGGTTTGAGTTAGATTTGAGAAGTGGCATTCTGATTTTTACAGAGAAAGTTGTGTGATAACTTCAATATTTCTAATTGACTTTTCCTCACTCTCAAATCGGTCGGGAATATTAACAAAAAATGAATATGTTTGAAAATAAGTTTTAATTTATCACCCTTGCAAAATAGCAATAAAGAAAAAAAGGAGTGGAGACACCTTTAACCTTGCATTACTACCCATCAAAAATTGACATATTTTACTACCCGGGGTAGAGGTGTACTCCAAATTTAAAACTTGTGTTTCCAAAAATCAAATATATTTAGAAAAGTTGTTGTATACAATGGTTTCACATTATTAAACATAATTATTAATTATTATTTTTAGTTAATGTAATCTGGTCACACTTTTGACTGATGGTTCAGACATAAGTATTTTTTGCCCTTCTTGAACGTTATCCTCGATTTTCTGTCTTGTTTGCGTGTACAAAAAGCGCATCTCCTGGAAGAAGTTTGCCTTTGGTCTATATTAGGTACTTCAAGCTCGATATGCAAATTTTTTTCTATAATAGCTTGGAGTTCTTTTGACAAAATTTGGATTCCGAGCTGTTCTCTCATCAAGGGACTAACTAGGTCGGAACGAAGTTGTTTTTATATAATCATCATCAGAATATTCGTTATTTTCCTGTATATAATCATCGTCGAAATCTTCGTCAGGCTCCGATCTATAATTGTTAGAGCGCTATAATTATAGAGGCATTGGCAAGACATCCAGAAATTTCAGTACTTAAGATATTAGGAAACGAGGAAAATGTATTACCAGCGAAAAATTTCTTGCGAGCTTGTTAAAAGATTTTATGACATTGAGAAAACAATAATTTTCAGATAATTATTTACACATACTGTATACTAAAGAAGCAGTTATCTGTAGGTGTCAAGAGTATATCCCAACTCAATTGGGGTGATTTAAAATATATTTTGTAGTATTTATTATAATATATCTTAACGAATTTATGCTAATAAAAAAATACAATCTTACTTTTATTGTATAATAACTTACGTATATGATTTCTGTTATCAACTTCTTCACTAGTACTAGGAAGTAGTTGTTCCAAATCCTCATCCATAATTTTGATGGCACAATAAACTGACTCTCCCGAACAGTTTTCACATTTTTATAAAAGATTCTAGAATAACCTGCATTCTATAGCACTATTTTCAAAAGTATATATAATAATTATATTAAACAATAGGTATTTAAAGTAAGTTTTTAAGTTTCGCAAAAGTGTTGTTATTAAAACACAAAGTGTAAACTATTTGAAAACATTGGGATCCACTATCTCTTCTATTTGAATCTAAACAGACATTTGAAACTCTGTTGACCCACCGATAGGGGTCAAAAAAAATATCGCCAAGATAAGATTTTAAATCACTTGAGAATAAAAAACATTTGGTAACTATAACAATGAGTAATCAAAATGAGAACACTAGTTTGCGGAAGTTATAGATGATATCCTAATATTAAAAGAGGAAAATCAGATGACAAAATACGATGATAGTATAAGGAGAACCGTAGAAAAACATTTGTATATTTGAATATGTTAAATAGGGTTTGAAATCTATGGAAAAAAATGAGTGGTTGGGATAATATCCAATAATAAACAATATTTAAAAAATATATAATAAATAGTGTAGAAAAAATGATGTTGACAATTTTGGAAAGTTTTGAAATATTCTAAAATAATTTTGAATGAAAAATCAACTACAGGTTTATGCGATCATAGAACTATAAATTGAGGATCTGAGTACTAACTTGAAGCTGTGTAAAACAGAATCAAGAAAGTACATTAGAGTCTCTTTACAATAAAATATCATTCTCTAAACCGTATCATAGAGCCTCAACAGAAAGGGTAAGCTAAGGGTTCCATGGGCTGCAAAAGAACAACTTATCATCGACTTTGTCATTTCTAACCAAGCATTTAACAAAAAAAGGAATCTCTTTACAGCTTTCATCGACTACAAGAAAGCGTTTGATTCAGTGCCGCATGAATGGCCTATAAATATATTAAAAGTATATTAAGTCGATGATAACATAGTGACCTTTTCAAAACATATAATGTCAGATTGGAAGACAAAAATTCACCTTCAAATACCTGGTGAAAACAATATCAAGACTGAAAATATTGCAGTCAACCGGGGCCTATTTCAAGGAGACTCGTTGAGCCCACTGTGGTTTATTTCTAGCCATGAACCCCCTATCCCAGCTACTGAACTCAACTGACCCAGGTTTTAGCATCAAAAATAACACTACTGTTGTGACAAAGCTTAATTATCTATTGTATATGGATGATTTAAAACTATTAACTTTCTCTCGAAGCAACCTGGATCAGATGTTAAAAACAGTAGAAAATTTCTCTAATGATATTAGTATGCACTTTGGTCTTGACAAGTCCCGTGTCTTAAATACAATCAAAAAAAAAGTTCGATATGCAAAATAGTCAGAACATCGAGGTCATGGGTGAAAATGATATGTATAAATACCTCGGAATAAAGCAAGCGCGGAATATTGCATAAGCAAATGAAAACTTTCTGAAACAGATAACTACTGAGTTTATACGAAGAGTAAAATAGCTGCTTCGTTCATACCTTAACAGTAAAAATGTGTTTAAGGCACTAAACACTTACGCATGTTTCGCGCTTAGCTACTCAGTTGGTATTGTTAAATGGACAACAACGGATATAGAAAATCTTCAGCGAAAAGTACGAATACACCTCACAAAGGCACAAAAACACCATTACCGCGGTATTTAAGAGGACGAGAACTTATGGATATAAGTAAGCAACTAGAAAAACAAATTACTAATTTCAGAACTTATTTTCAGGTGCTGGCTGAGACATCCGCTCTACATCGCGCGATTTGTGCAGTAGATGATACAACACCGATTAACCTGAGGGAGCAGAAATGCGCATAAACCATCTTACCAAGGACGGATAATGCGCACCTGAATAGGTAAACCTCTGCACTGGCAACATCCCAATGAGGTCAGTCAACATCATGTCGACAATATAGCGTCGAACTATTGGCTGACATCAGAAAAGATGATCCCTGAAATAGAAGGTACATTACTCGCCTTTCAGGATCAGGTTATACCAACCAAAAATTACCTGAAATATATCGTCAAAACCCTCAGGTACAAAATGACAAATGCCGGTATAGATATAGAATAGGCTCAAGAAACCATCCAATATCTTACCGGCGGCTGCCAGTCATTTGCTGCAACTGTATATAAGGAACGGCACAACTCAGTAGAAAAGATCATTCATCAAGAGATAGCCATCAAACTGGGACTTCTCCAAACAAACCATCTCCCATATTATCAAAACGTTTCTGAAAGTATACTTGAGAATAATAATTACAAGCTATACTGGGACCGCACTGTGCTCACAGATCAAATAGTGGCATATAATAGACCAAATCTAATACTGGTTAATAATCTAAAGAGACAAACAACACTAATTGATGTGGCGATACCCAACAACAATTAGCTTCGTGTTAAACAGAACGAAAAGATCGCCAAGTACAGGAATCTGGCAATTCAAATACGAAGACAGGAAGACAGGAAGACAAATACGGATAATGGAAAGTACCCAGACAAT